TTTCATGGATTTGTAATAACTACATTGAGTTCTCTTTAAATAAATCTGTTCTTCCCAACTTTCTGGCAGTATTTTGGATGATAATACTCAAGTTGTGAAATTAAATGTAAGGTAATTTAAACAGCAATGTAAACATGGATATCAAATTCTCTTTAATAAAAGGTCAATATATTGAGAAGAACTTGGTGAACATTAGTTTAGGCACATGTCTTTGTTTTTTAAGATAGCTTTAATGTTACAAAGGTCCTGATAAAGTATCAGGTTTGAATCAATCAGATTCAAGGGGGGCCTTAGGGGGCTTTACAATGCATACAGCATTCAATCATTAGCTATATGTCAAGGCATTTCACTTTTTGCCAGTAGATAGCCTACACAGAATAGGATATCCAATGGGAAAATAAGAAGTCACAGACTGTAATGGATGAAGTTGAGTATAGCTTTAGACCACGGGTTGTGTTTTGAATGAAGCAGCCTCAGCCGGGTCTTGGCTCTGCTCCCTGTGAAGAACTCTAGTCTCTGTTTATACTGGGATAATGCCATCAGCAAGAGACCTTGAGTGAGAACACTATCTTCCTCTTTCTCTGCTGCTCACAATAATGTCAATGTACAAAAAAAGAAATCTGCGGCATGCCCAATAGAAAGAGCTTTCTAAAGAATGTGGACAATATACAGCTGAACCTCGTGGTTGTTTTGAATTTTACTTTTACCTATGTTTCCCTTTTCATCAAGAAAAACAACTTCACTCCTACTAAATTTAATTTATTTTTCAGCCCACGGCACAAATGTTAGATTGCTTTAAATTATTCTCAATGTTGTACTGCCTGGACAGTAAAAACTATAATAACAAAAAAGAGTTGAATAAATAAATTGGATAAAGATGTATGTTTCATATTGCCCTGCTGTATGTATTGAGAAAGTGTTTTCTCTATCTCTCTTTCTATTGGTGTTTCCGGACATAAGTAGACAATATTTCGGCTCCAGAGCTACACAGAGCCGCAGGCCAGAATTGAATTGAGCTCTTAACCCCTTCACAACCTTTCAAAAAAGCAACAATAGACAGATACAGAAAAAAAGGGGGCAGTCATTAAATCATCATTAAAATGATTTGTACAATGTGTATGCTGTGTGTGTGTGTGTGTGTGTGTAAAGACCACAGTGTTAAGATTTCTCCATTGTTAAAACTGAATGAGTTCACTCCTCACTGCAGGTTGCCACGACAACACAGTCGTGACATACCTGTGGTCCCCCGCCTGGCGGACGACGAGAAGTAATCGCCTGAGAGACAGAGATACATCACTATGTAGACATGGAGGGGTTTAAAATACAAAGTGTAGAAGGAAACTGCTGCTGCTGATTTACTGCCTAATATTTGGGCATGTTGTATTCAGTTTGATATATGTGTATTCTTTATTTATTAGAAAAATGCTCATACTGTAGTATTGTAGTTTTTAGTCATCCTGTTGGCATAGTGTTTGTGATTTTGGTCCAGGCTATAATGTTTGAATATATCTGAACAACTATTGGATGGATTGCCATTAGACTTAGTTCTTACTTTCATTTCCCCCTCAGAATGAATTCTAATAACTTTGATGATAATTTCACTTCTTTATGATTTTAATTTGTCCAATACTTTATTTATTTATGTATTTATTTGGTTTATCAGCAAATGCCCAACTCATGACATTCCCATCAGCATCAGTTTTACTTGTACTACATCTGAACTCTTCTCTGTGTGGGATCAATACATTGTTCTTATTCATGGCTTAAAATAAAGGTAGAATAGCCTTATTTATATATTTAGTAAAACAAATGAATATACAATCACCTTTTGAACTAATGTAGCACGTTTGGTCAATGTTAACATTTTCAGTGACTGCAGAACAGCAAGTTAAGAAACACATTGCACTCCAATCCCTCTGCAAATCTATATTTACTATGTTCAAACATTGCTAAGGTTGAATAAATTACTGTTCATAACCTCCTGAAATCTAAATTCAGAGACTGCAGATTATGGGATCCTCCTCAGCATACAGGGAGCACAAAGAGGTAGAAAGGGCCATGACAACATCATTTCGCCTTTGAAGAAAGGTTGTGCTTTCCACCTTCGAGGCGTTTTCTCTTTATCATCACTGCCCAGATGTGACATCTGTAAATCCACCAAGCAATACACTGCAGGAGGAGAGCAGGAGGATAGTTGTGTCTGGCATAGGCTGAACATACAGTACAGCAGCATGCACAGCCCCCCAGGGTGCAATGAAGAATTTACTGAGGTGTAATGGGTGTATAATACGTGTGTTTATCGAGCTTATAAGAGGGCTAAGTGTGTTTGTTTGAGCTGGTGAGACCTCTTGTCTGAGGAACAACATGTTTTTTTGTAGCCCGACACACAAAAGATTATTATGATGTAATAGGAGCAGGAACCATGACCCTGAACAAGAAAGATCAGGACTAAAGCTAATGCATGCCACAAAGAAAGGAATAATTCATCCGAGCTGAAGCAGCCTGTGAGAGGACAGTCGGATCAGGTTAAAACCCATCTGAAGAGCCCTGCTCGTTGTATTTTTTACTGTACGAGACATTAAAATGCCACACATCTTACTCTTTTGACACACATTACATAGACTTTTTGTTTACAAGACACTTAAGGCCCACTGTATGGGCGCTCCAGAGGCTTATGTTGCTCCGCTGACTCTGTCCTGTTGGCTTTGACTGAGCCTTATAAATGCTGTGTGGCAGACAGGCATATCTCCAATAGTCCAGGGAGCGATGAGGGTGGCGAGGCGGGAAGTAAAAGAGGGAGGGAGTCTAAAGACTTAGACATGTGACTCACAGGGGTCCGAAGCAGAATACAGATGCAGAAACAAGCCCGTTGGGTAGGCCATAGGCAGATCCCTCATCAACCACCTCCAGATGCAACATATAGTCCATCCTCACAAAATGACTCGTGCATAAATCTCTGATCTCATCCTCATGGAAATAATTAGACTGAAGAATGAGAGACTGGGGAGGTAGTAAACTGCTCCGGGATAACCTGAAGGGAGCCTTCATAAGTATAGCATCTGCCATTGGATGCTGCATGCCTAGCTTAGGGAAATACGAGAGCGGTGAACAAACAAAGGGCATTTTCCTCAAAGTCTGAGAAAAGCCCAGAGGGCTTGAGATTTCTCAAAGGGCCTGGGGAAAGAGTCAAAGTGGATCATGGGTAGATACAGCTGATGAAGGTAAGGGAAACATTTGTAAAGATCTCATTAAAAGTCACAGCAAGTCAAGTGAAGCTAACATCATTTTTTTCTTAAGGATTTTTGAATGAGATGCCGTTTGTTCTTATTCTTCGCTTTTCTGTCCTATAGCAACTATGACTGGTAATAATATCTGCTCCTACAGTACTAACGTAAGGAAACCTCCAATACCTTATTGGACTCATGGAAACACTTTGAAATGTTTTGACGATCGGTGAGATTTCTTTGTTGCTTACAGAAAGTTGAACTTGTGGATGCAACATCATCAGTCAATCAGCAGGGACCTTTGAATGTTTAGCGCACAATGTACACTTGTAATAATAATACTCCTTTTGGGCATTACCATTTGGATTTTATTTCCATTTGACAGTGAGATTTGGTACAAATGAACAAGTTCAGCAATTAACCTCATAAAGAGGAAATGAACAATCTAAAAAATGTAAGAATAATGGCTATTACAGCAATCGGCTGTAATTGAAAACTTGAAGCAGAAAATGGAAAATACGACTCCCCCCAAAGTTTTAATTATCTACATTACACAAGGGTAAAATCTAAATATAGCAAATGTCATAAAGACTTTAATGAAGCTTATTTTCTCTTAATGTGGCCTTCTTACCTGTGCTTCTCAAATTTTACATTCTGCTTTGTGCTGTTTTGTAGGTACGAGATTATCTCAATTTACATAGTTGACATCAATCTAATTCAACTCGAGTAAAGATGATGTTTGGACAAACTTAAAGACTTGTTCATTGTAATATGAATCTCATTTAAGTGTTTGGCTGTGTATGCCAAAGTATTAATGAGTAGTTTTGGTTGTATCACCAGAAAACCTGCAATAAATCATGCTAAGAATGTCCTAAATGTACTTCATGGCAGTACAGTAGCAAAGCTTAGGACACCTGATTGTACTTGAAGTAGTGCTATAAACTTACATATCGTGGAAACACTAAAGTGCTGAAGAAGATAGCAATCATTTTAAATTGTTTTCACCCCCAGATTAATTAAAGCTCTTCCTAGTGCACAGGAAGTTTGACACTCACTTAAAGACCTAAACTTTCCCTCTGGACAGCACCTTATTCGAAGTGCTGTTTGCTTTAATTACAGTATGTAACAGGAAGCACAGAGATCATCTCCTCAGAAGTCAAAGTAATTAACTTCTAGATGTTATGATCATGTTATGCTGACCTGCAGATTGTAAAGACACCTGAAGGCAACACATGTAAGACTTCATGATGTACTCACTGAAATATATGAACATATCAACTCATCAGGTAAAATGCAACACTATGAATTTACCCTTCTCTCTTTCGCTTAATCTATACAAGGTTAAGGGTTTCTTTTAATGAGAACAACTTGTGATGCGCTTGTTCATCCATAATTGCCTCTCTGTGGTATCATACTGCCCAGAGAACGAATATAAGAGTTAATTGAAGGCTGTGAAAATATTAGCCGCCTCATTATTCTCCTGCCAATAAAATCACAATGATAGCTGAATCCACTGACCAAAAAAACAACGCAGATTTCCTTCAACTAAAGCAAACAGTCTTCAGCCGACTCTCTTAATCTGCTGCAGAAATTACAGTGACAAAAAGCTCCAACACGTTGCACAGTATGTATTCACATTCTCCAAACATACTGCACTGTTGAACACATGGACAGCTACTCACAACAATCATTATCTTCAGACTGTAAGTGTGGCAAAGAAACTACACACACTTATCTCAGAGCAGCTAATAAAACCAGACATGCACTTCTCCTCACCGTTGATATGCTTTTCGCCTCATTGTCAGAAGATACAATCACAATGTTCATGTGCCTTTGCGTCCCCTCAGAGCGGCATGCATTTAGGAAAGCCTCCTCTAATTCTGACTGAGACGGGCTGGTAGGCAGAGAGAGAGAGAGAGAGAGAGAGAGAGAGAGAGAGAGAGAGAGAGAGAGAGAGAGAGAGAGAGAGAGAGAGAGAGAGGCTGAGCATTGAATGGAGCAGAAGAAGGTGTTTGGAAAGAGGAGCGGTTTTAGGAGTGATGGAGAGAAGAAGAAGAAGGAAAGAGAGGTGTGGTGGTGGTGTCACTACCGGGAGGAGAGCGGGTAAAAGTGAAAATGGCTAACCTTGTGTCATGCTGCATCTCTCCATCAGATTCCTGTTGGGAAGACAAGAAGAGAGGGGTAAAATGATTTATTTATCAAGCAGATGTATCTGGCGCCGCGGCTGTCACTGCCTGCTGTGGAGTGCCTCTTATCTGATGTTTAACGAGATCTCAGAGCAGCCAAACAAATATCTGTTATTTCTCACTCTCTCCCATAAATATATATATCAGCATTGAGAGTATTAAGTGACGAGGGAGGAGGGAGAGAGCCCGAGCCAGAAATGACAGATTAAAAGCGCAACGGCAAAATGCTGTGTATTGCAGAAATGAAAAGAAAGTGCCCGAGGGTGAGAGGCAGACTTACATACTGAAGAACACAACAGTTGAATGATAGGACATATAAAGTTCTAGCAGGAAAAGCTAAACAAAATAGAACAATTTGAAGTTTGAGAGTCAATTGAAAAGAATAGTTGAATACACTTTAAAAATACACTTTTAGCTTTGTTGCTTAGAGATAGATGAGAAGATTGGTATCTTCTCATAACTTAAAAGAAAAAAAAAATAACAAGGAAAATGTATATCACCAAAAACAAATGTCTCCCTTCAACACATAAACATTGGAAATGTCATACAAGATAGAGGTGAGACCCCACTCCGTTACGCATAATCACATTTTTACTACCTCATATCGAGATGAATGTGAAAGCAGTTTGTTGCACATGAATTATGCATGACATGGATTTCAGAAGACCATCTACCGTTTGCATGTTCACTTGGGCTTAATTATTTGGTGTAGAACCAATCAGTCAATGCTCCCCTGGATCAGAGTTGACATGGCAGAACATATACTGTATGTGCAGGCAAGGTCCAAAACAAAGAAAAATCAACATGTCAGCTGCAACCCTGGTGATAACGCTCACTCTGATTCATGCTCATGACCATGAACCTTTTAGAGCTCAGGATACAGTTAGTGAGGGGTGTTTGTGCTGCAGCAGGTGCTTGTGTTGCATGCAGTTGCAGCCAGGCTCAGGATTTATAGTCTGTATTCAGTGAGCTGTAATGAATGTGTCAGGTACACCGCTTCAATACACAGGTTGTGAGAGAACAGTGTGTGTTTGTTTGCATGTGTGTGTGTGTGTGTGTGTGTGTGTGTGTGTGTGTCTAGATGTGGTGTGGGTGTTACAAACAGTGTGAGTGATACAGCAGGATGACTCATACAGCTACTGAATGAGACAACGCTCGGTAATCCCCTCTGTCCATCCCTCCATCCCAGCATGCCTCTGTGCAGGGAGGGCAAGCCCAGAGAGAGAGAGAGAGAGAGAGAGGGAGGCAGGAGGAGGAGGGGGGGGGGTGTCGGCATTCCTGGAAGGCGTCATTGAATGATAATCTGCAGCTAGTATGGATGTACATTCTTTAGGGGGAACATTTTAGATGTTAGCCCTTATTATGCTGTCGCTAAATTACAAGTATCAGTGAAAACAATTTGAACCAACCACCAAATTATGATTATATTTCATTTACATCAGCAAAGGTTGGGAAGACTGCAATTAACATGATCCTATTCTCAAATACGACACTGTGCACAGTTTTAAATGTTACAGAGCAACACAAATCCTTGTTTTTGCTGACCTGCAGTGGTCAAACTTTCCAGTGTGCTGTAGTGATATAAAAGTGTTCTCAAGAGTGAGTCACCATTAGTACACCATGACTGATGGCTGTTCTTACAGGTGCAATACCTCTGAAAAAACACAACAGGGGTTTGTTCAACCAGAGCAGACAACACAGTTTGTTTCTAACTGCTATTAAGTAAGTCCTTGCAGTTACATTTCCTAAGATTCTTATTATACTATATCCCAGCTTTGACACTATTAATGGCCAACAATTATTTTTGATACAGCCTTTCAATGTGCTTGCATTATGTAATTATCTATAGTCAATAGTTCATTGTGACAAGCTGGGTTCCCTCTTTCTGCATTGACAAAAAAGCATGGGACAGGAAAACATGCCTGCAATGTCTGTGCTGGTTGTAATGCAAAACCAATAAGCTGGTGCAAGAGCACATTTAGCAGAAGACAACATTCATTCATGAGTTTAACATTGTTGATGTTCAAACAACATGATGCAATGAATCCTCTAAGCCCTCTGCTTCACAATGATTGGGTCTTTAATCTTATTTATACCTTCACATTTCAGTGCAGGTTACACATCTGGTAACCGTATGAAATTGTTGTGTACTTCAATGTTGCCATTTATTATACTGTATGTGTTTTTGTAATACTTCACCACATACTGTACTGCTGCAGAGTAATAGTACAACAATGTTGCAAGGTGTTAGCAGCTACGTAGTACCAAGTGGCATTTACAAGCCAGAAAAGGCACCTACAAATATAGGAAAGTGTTTAAATTATTCATGTATTAGCTACCTTCACACAGGCTGCCAAGCAGGATAGTAAAATGGGTTTGAAACCCAGGCTATCTTTTTCTCTTTTACTCTAGGCTCTGAGTAAATAAGCAGTAAATAAGGGTGGATATTTAATATTACACGCCAAGGGGAACCAAACTTTCCCTTTGCTATCTCTGTTGGATGTTTGGAGGGCAGAGAGATGCTAATCCATTTAAATGAGAAATAATAGACCTTTTTCTGTAGCCATCCTTCGACAACATCCTGGCTATGTAAATGTACATCCAGTGAGACATTTTTAATTCAAACTGCAAGTCATGCTTTCATTTCCAGACTGTGTACGAAAAGAGTGAATGAGGACATGTTTTTTTACATGTACTACATTTCTGTTCATGTACAGCACAACATAAATCACATTTCTTATTCACCTCCCATAAATGAATAATCATGTTTTACAGATTTTGTTTTGTATGGCAAGTGTGTGATGTGTCAGACCCAATTAAGCAAAGCACCAAACATAAATGATTCAAATCTGAGTCTGGATGAGTAATGTTTAGCTAACAAGGAGGAATGTGATGCAATACAGTAAATCAAAGCCTTGAATAAAGATTGAGTTGAATCATCAGAGGCTTGTGTAATTGTATTCATTTGGCTCCTCAGTTCCAGTGATCTCTGCTACTCTCACTGCATGGTGATGAAACACAGTGTATGTTGCTCTCTTGTATGTTTTTTTGAATGATCATAGCCATTGTCCTTAATGTATAATTGTATCAGCAGTCCTCTTCTTGAAACCAACCAATGGTGATCTAGACCAGCTTCTTACCTGAGTTAGAAATACACTTACTTACAATAAGTTAATTCTTATTATCACTTTCAACAACACAAGAAATTATGATACATTCTTAGTTTACGCCATCTTGGGTCACAGGGTCCAAAAAGCATGCTTCAGACTTACTTGGCCACATTTCCCGGTATCAGGCAGAAAGAAGCAGCTGGCAGTATAATATATATCTATAGAAATGATAGCAGATGGTAGTTTGCACCTTTCCATTGCCAAGAGAAGTGTTAAAATAAATACATTAGGAAGCAAAAACAGCTTGGTCAAACACAACCAAATATCCACAGGAATGATATTCTACCAAACAGAAATTGGTGCCAGGGTGTTCTGCATCCCAGTTTCCTTAGAAACGACATTAATATTGTACAACGTTTTTTTGGTACAAGAATGTAGCACAGTTTTCATGCAGGAGATTTAAGTTTGTGACCTTCTAAAGATCAGTTTTCATAATATATTACCAACTTTAACATGATAAAGTCACCATATGCGGATGATGTTGGATGAAAGAAACGTTATGTCACCCATTTTAATACAGTTATTTCCAAGATTGTAACCATGAGAAGCAATCTTGCTGTCAAACGTTTTGCTATGAGTGCTCAAAATTGTTTTCCATTTAACGTCAATTGCATTGGAAATACGTCCTGGAAAACAAAAAAATTATGTTTTTTGAAAAAGGGGGAATCTTATCTTGGATGTATTGGTACTCACAGTGATATTAGTAGGTCTGGGCAGTGAGGTAGTTCTGTAGGACATTCTGGGAAAGCCCTCTGGCCAGCTGAACACAGGGCAGGGGACACTCCGTCCACTGGAAGTTGATTGAGGGAGAGGGGGCTCATAACTGGGAAACACCATGTTCTTTTCTTTCTCCTTCCCTCTTTCCATCCTTCTGTCTTTCTCCCAGTAAGGCCTCTCTCCATCCTTATCCTTTCCCTTCCTTTTGTCTATTCCTCTGTCCCTCCCCCAGGGGTTTTCTTTTCTCTTTTCCCTCTCCTTCCCTCTCTCCATCCCCGATCCCCCATTTAATTCCCATGTAATCCTGTTTTCCCTCTCCTTCCCTTTCTCCATAACCTTCTCCAGGGTTTTAACGTTCCTTTCATTCCCGAGAGTGCCATTGGCTGCCAGTTCATCAAGTCGTCTCACGCTGTCAATGTCTGTCTCTAGATAAAGTCTCCCAGTGGAGGGCTGTGCCTGAATCTTTGTACATAGCTCCAGGTTGAGCTCTGAGAATGAGTGGCTCTCCCCTTTCACTTTACTTAAAACATCCCCGGGCTCCAAAATCTTACAGCTGGGTAATGTCTTGCTCCACTGGTGGATGGAGCTGTTAATGTCCTTCATATCGTACTCCTTAATGGTCTGAAGGTTTGAACTGGTCAAGCTCTGCCACAAGTTTGTTGCCGATGTAGATCGTTCTGGTGGTGGTGGGTTAGTTGGCATTGAATGCTGGGGGGTTGTTAGAGAGTTGTGAGAGGGGGTTGGTGTTGGTGGCTGGGGTGGAGGGGATGAGTAGCGATGTTGAAGGTTGAACTCTTGTTGAGGAGCATCGCCGTTAGATTTCAAGACCCTGCC